TTCACAACTACACTCACCCACTGACTATAAACCCAGAAATACTAATCTTAATCTTAAAATAATAAATCCTAACTAGTCATAAGTTTGCCTATGATACTCCAATATAGACACCTTGTATTGTGCCAAAACAAAAGCATTCACATTGCTAAACTCACAAATTATGCTGTAGTCACTTAGCCTTAATACCATAATCTGTAAGGATTTAATGTTAAGAATTAATCTAAGTCTGCTCGAAATGCCTAGCCATGCTAGGTGTCCTAGTGGCCCCCTCGGTAATTAGTATTTTATATAATGTAAACCACACAATACCCAAAACCTGTAAACCCCACATTGTAACCCTTATAGAGAATAAACTTGAATTGAATTGTTGCCACGACGCTGGCTGGTAAGAAGAGAAAGATGGTCTATGACAGTATCAGGTTATAAGATAGTAAAAAATGGATATTTAGATTTTCTTAGTATTCTTAGCAGGGATAACAATAGGCTACGAATGTAGATTGAGGAAAGAGTGAGCCGAGAGGATACTTCAAAGAAATTCTTGACAAATAGAGGGAATAGAATGGGAAAAAATGAAAGAAAAATTAATAACTCCTATAACTAATGAGACTTTAAATTATTATAACTATAATCATGGGAGCGCTAAACCCGTAGGATTATACAGCGCATGTAGGGGGGGGGGATGAAAGGCATTCAGGCTCAGTTCAGGGAACTGGAGCACAGATCCAATTCCCTAGATGAAGAGCCCCTCACCAGCGTCAAGGAACCTCGTTTGAGGGGAAATGGGACTCTAAAAAAGTATTATGATTTATTATTATTATATGAGCAAATTACCCGCAGGAGGTTTACAGGGTATTAATTGAATTATTACCTGCAAGTCATTTGGGTGAGATAAGTGGGACTTAAGTCACAGTAGGTCGCAGGACTGTAACTCCCTCGATGCCCACTCCCTACTACTCTCACAAAAAGCTAGACCTGACATTAAATTAATAATTACAATATTAAAACCAGCTACTCTGGTAAATTAAAGTTGAGAACTGTATATGATAGGCTTGCTGGGTACACAAAAGAAATTCGTATTACCACTTACCATTTAATTACTGTAGATGGATCACACCACAACACCTGCCTGACACCTGGACCCTTCACTGGCCAGCTAGAGATCTAAATGAAAGGACTAATGGCACGCTTCCCTATGCGTGATGGTCGTATCCCTTATTTTCCACCATCCGTACGTAATTCTTGAGGTCCTGCAAATTTCCTGTGCCAATTCTTCAGCAGGGGACATTAACACGGGTTCATGTTACAAATTCAGGCCGAAAAACCCAAATTTGGCCACAAAGACGCCGGATTGTTAGCTGAATTTTCCGCGACAACCAGTGCCCACAAATTACAAATGGCGTCATCCCGTTTGCGAGTTCATTACCTTTGTAAATTGTGATTTCATTACCTTTGTAAATTGTGAGTTCATTACCTTTGTAACTTGCTCAGCTATCAAAACTTTGAGGCCCAGTCTCTGGACCCATTATGTACCTCTGTAATCTTTTGACTACCGCCCACAGGATGGGTATGGGGTGCATAATAAAGATATTAAACTAAAACCCGTTTGCGTCACTCAGCAGCTGTTCTACACCCACACACTCGAAATTTCTCGAAAGGGTAAAATCAGCATCATATTTTAATACACCATTATTGTTTTATTCAAATTTACACATGCTGAATTTAGGAAAATCCTAAATTTTCCAGATATGTTGAAAATATTAATGAAGTTGGGAAACCACGAAGATAGCTCTGTTTCTATTGCCGCAAATGTTAGTACACCTAAACGAACTCCTCATGTAAAATACTCGTAGTGGAATCTTTATTTATTTATTAATTTGAACATGATACATAGAAGTACAAGGAAATACAGTGGTTAAATGTAACATGCCAAAGCCCCTTGTATGCAGAGCATTATGGGCAGGCTTAAAATTAACTTAAGATTAACTAAGCAATGATATATTCAGTGGTAAACATATTTTTTTTTCTTATTCGCCGGTACTCTCCCGGCCCGGGTCTTTTCCAAGTTGTGGTGACCCGGCCATGGCTCCCTGTCTGGAGAGTATCTCGAGACCTAAGGGGTAACCTAACGTTAACACATGAACTTTTTTATTTTTCGTTCGATTTCTTTCATTTTTTTTGTACGTAAAGAAGCACCTTCCAATAGTAATGTGACCAAGTTTCAATAAGATAGCTCAAAAAACAACTGAGAAAAAAATTATTTACTAATAATCATACATATTGAACAGTAACTTCGTAATGGGACTTGGAGAAGCTGTTTTGGTATTATCTACGCATAAAACAATGCTAAACTGTATTTCTAATGGAGTCCGAACTGTAATTTATCCTTTCTTTATTCTTAAAAAAAAATAAAGTTAGTATGGTTTTGATATTCAGCCAAATATCTTGACTTTTGCCCTCACAAAAATCAAAAACAAATTATGATATCTCAAAAAGGCCTCCATTTGATTGTAAAACAATCTTTCCTTTATGTTCTCTGTGAATTTCATTACATTCCTGCTATTATTAACGAATTTAGTGGCTCATATATGTGAATAACTTACTTCCGAGATAATCCGCGAAACAGCCGGACCACCGATTTTTTTTTTCGAGAAAATAACATTTTTCTCAGCAGTACGAGTGTATATCATAGTTACCCATGTTCGTGTTCTTTAATATAAGGACCCTGGAGGTGAAAGAAAGAGAATGGAAGCCCCTCTCTGAGAATGGGAATCTATTATTCCAGATGGAGCGCTCTGAGAATATGCCATATATTATTCATTCTGGAGTATTTACCATATTTCTTTGTTATTTATATTGTTTATTATGTCATATTAGATCAATTGTGATAGATAAATAAGCCGTAGAAGCTATAATAGCGTTATATTGAGCCATATTCCCCGGCCACCCCGAGACTGGAATTTTCCATGACGTCAGCAAAATGGTGTCGGGAGGTTCCTGGTTGGTTGGAACTCTACGGATAAGTCCCACCCACTGTATTATGATGCCAAATCGTCAATTATTATCTTATTTTATTTTACCAATTTGAGCACACATACAGAGGTACAAAAAAATACAGATAAGAGCAGCATGCCAAAGCCACTTATACTATGCATAGCATTACGGGCTGGCTTAAAATTAACTTAAGATTAACTAAGCAATGATGAAATCAGTGATAAAACATTAATGTAAACAGATTACTATAAAGCACAAGTGAGTATTACAAAGACAGGTCATATGGTTGCATTCAGTCATATGAAGGATTCTGTTAGGTAGTGTATTTAAAAAATAATAAAGTTAGATTCGGTTTTAGGTTTAACATTTATGTGATATAATTGTGAGAAACATTTAAGATATACAATTTATAAGGTTCAGTTATTCAGTTATTCAGTATTTATTTGGTTTTGGGTGAGTAAGTGATCTTTGAGAAGAGACTTGAATTTATAAACAGGTAGTGTTTCTTTTATATTTACAGGTAATGAATTCCAGATTTTAGGGCCTTTTATGTGCATTGAGTTTTTGCATAGTGTGAGAGGGACACGAGGAACATCAAAGAGTGATCTGTGCCTTGTGTTATGGTCATGTGTTCTGTTGAGGTTGGCAAGGAGATGTTTGAGGGG